TAGCCGGGCCTGATTCAGCTTGGGATGAGTATGTCCCCTGTGAAATAACCGGAACTGATACAGCCTGAGTTTGTGTTGCTTCTTGAGGAATAACTGAACCCGGTCCAACCTTAATTATCGTTTCAAGGCGCTCGTTGACTGCAGGCACGATCGATGAACTGGGAATGCATCCTTCATTACAAATAATATTCCTCATATTGTTTGATCCACCTATCATTTCGTCTTGAGGATAGCTTTGACTTGATGGAATAATCCTATTTTCGCTTATTCGCATGTTCGAACTGTACGGTTTCCTTAGCCTAACAATCGGTCGTTTCCTTCCCCTGATGGGTCCGTGTGTTGATGACGGCGATGATGGAAAGGATGGTGCTGAAGCTGGACCTGCTCCTCCTTGGGGTAAGAACATTGCTTGAGGATTGAACGAACCAGACACAGTCTGCTCACCTGTTGACTGTCCACTGCAAATAAACATGCTCATTTCAGCATGAGCAACGTTTGTTTGATATTATCGATGCAAGTGAATGTATAAGTGACAAGCGAAACAAACCATGACTGCTGACATCTTTGGTAGCATTGCTGAATCTCACTTTGTGGACAGCTTCGTGCACATCTGTTCGTGCATGGCGTTGATTGCTGCTAAAATGGTCAAAATTGGCTAAATCGTTCATATCTTCAGAATTAAATGCCATCTTCAATGCAAACATCAGATTTCAGTGAAAAGCATGCGCAGAAATATGTTTATAACATTTTAGAGGAAATAAATGATAGCACGAAAGGCACTCAGCAATAACCTGTGTAAGTGAAGCGCAATATAAAGTGATGAGAATATATTTGAAAGTGACACAGTGATCCATTACGGAGCTGCAATGAGATGTGGTGCGTTCAACTGAGAATGGACCCCGCTTTTATAGTTCCATTGCTCAACTGGTTCGATGCGTTTTGCTCGCTCAAGGTTCGAAAGCTGACAATCACATTGTGGGTCTGGAACTCGCCGAAACTTGAATTTCGATCTGTTCAGTTGCTTCTTCGGCTTTATAAAAACCACTACTGATATTAAGATTAAGCAATCGCTCATGTTCACCACTCGTTTTTATAAGGAACATCGAGCTGTTCGCATGATTTCAGCTTTCATTCTCGCGTCAAACAATTCTTTCAGCTTTTAATGTAAAACATTTCATTTTTACACAACAACCAGTACGTATAATTTTCCAAGCTTCCCTCTGATCAGCGCGTTAGCCTTTATCACCGCGATGTGACATTATTATTGGATCAGCAGCACAACTCTACTTCTGAAACAGATGAATTTGACTTAAGGTTATGTCAAATTTAGATTGCATTATTTTAATAAAACGTATCTGAGTAGTGTGAATCTCGGCGGGGTACAATTCAATACGATGTATCTCTATTGATCAACCTGCACATTACCTCAGCACAATGGTTCTCATGCTCGGTTGCTCCATTATCCCTTTCGATTGTCTGAAAGGCCGTTATTATTCGTCCTATTTCGCCAAGAACTTGCTATTTCCACACATAGCGTCAGAAGCAAGTGGAAAACTGATCCGAAAATTCCTCAGTGGCGTGAAACAAATTAATTTGTGTGGTAAAAGAACTACTTTCAGAATTTCACTTATCAGTAGCACAAAACAATCACAGAAAAAACCTCAGCAACTAACAACAAAAAGCAATGAAAAAACATTCATCATCGATGAAAAAATGATGAAATTAATCAGTGAGTTCATTTATCCATGAATACGAATGATGCAATGAAATTTTGCAAAATTATCTTCGAGGTGAACGGAAAAGTAATCGCTTCATCGAAGTAATAGCTAAGGAATAAGTAAAAGTTCATCAGTTGGTGAAGATAAATCTGAACTGTGGACGGTTTTGAGATCTGACAAGTGCAAAAAATTTGGAACTCTCATCGCACTTTTCAAGCACTTTGGTCACCAATGTCATTAAAAAAATTTTGTCGCTTATACCGGTTGAAAGAAATTGTGAAATAGAAAGTGTGAAAATTTATAAGTGAAAAAAGTGCATTCATAATAAGTGAAAAAAGGAATCAAAATCATCAAACATTCATCAATGAAAAGCGTTGCGGAAAACGTCAAATCAGTCATCTGAATCTGACAAAAAATTTTTCATGATAAATTCAACATTCCATTGAAGTGAAAGTTATCGAACAATTTAAAACTTATGAGTGTTGAAGCACAAACAAAATTAAATGCGAACTTATTTCCACAAACTAACGACCAGAAGTTACGATTGATTAATCTAACCAAGCGAGTTTGAATAGATCATAAAATTTGTTAAGAAAGTGTATTCAAGTTTGTGTTCAATAGGAACATAAAGCAGAGCACAGTTTATTGATCAATTTTAGGGTGCGAAAAGTCGCATCTGAAATGTTGAATTTTATCAATTTTACATGAGCGAGTTTTTGTGTGAAAAAGGAACTGTTCTTAATCAGCATGCGTATCATTACAGATCGTTTTGAATAGAAGTGAATTGAGAGCTGAATCCTCATGTCAGTATAATTTACCACTTGAATTATTCGCTTCATAACTTCTTCGAGCATACTAGGAAGTGTTTTTGAGGCAAACGCCTGGCAATCGATCATACCAGGAAGTGTGCTCCTTTCACAGTTGGAAAATGCTGTTTCAAAAAAATTTTTTGCAAATATTAGTAACTGTGAACTGACGCCACATCCGATGTTATATTGCAACGTTGATAGATGAAGATGAATTGAAAAAAGATCAAATGTTGCTGACTATAACTGTTCCGCAACTTGCTGCTCTACACTACGTGTGACTGCTTTAAACTGACTTTTGTTTACGCTCAGATGAGCCGATGTTACTCACCAAATAGGAGAAAGAAGAGTGTTGCCGTGAGCGCATGCCGTANCCAAGTGAAAAAACACCATCAAAATAGCGTTCCATCATGTTCACTTATCATAGCAACCGCATGAAATATTAATTTCCTGATCCCCTCCAGACCCCCTCCCCCCCCGCGCTCCCCGGCTACTCCAAATCATTCCGAAGGGGTAAACCCCTTCCAATGAGAATCCTTGCCTTAGGATTATGAGGGAGACCATTGTTGAACTAAAGCTGATTTCAGATTAGCTCAAAAGCATTATTATTTCTTCACACCATTGCATTTCCCACATTCCTTACTTTCAGAGAAGTATGCTTGTTGTCGAGCGATTTTGCTTACTCTTTCAGTGAAATAGCCAATTTTCTGAACATATCTAATTCGCTCATTTCAATACACTGTATCACAATTAATCAATACACACGTTAAATAATTAAATAATAATGACTATTTTCTGAAACCATTGCATACAGTTGAGCCGCTCAGTTCAGTACATTGTGTCTGCACTGGTCCAAATATAAAAGATATTAGTGAAATCCAGACCATAGTTTTTCACGCAGACAATCACGTAGAGCAGTNTCTTGCTCACCGCATTAAGTTGCCTTAGCATCCCCACAACAATAGTTTATTTAAGAATGAAACGCGACCGCGAGGATTATTTTCAAATTATTGCCTACTTTACACCCATGTACGTGTTGAACTCCGTCCTCGCCTACTTTGATACAGCAAAATGAAACGGTATCTCGCGCCCCTGGAATGCTTCAGATTCATCACTTAAACTATTGTATAGTGCTGAGGGTGTTTGGTACTGAGACAGCACACAGAAAAGATTGTTTATTGAAACGATAATAAATACAAACAATAAAATATCAGCTGGAAATGATATCGATCATCGGAAGTAATATTATTTCATAGGATGAAAATATTAATAATAAAGGGCAAATGATAATCGTTCCATATGATACACTGATTCACATAGCTTTTGATAAATACGATAGAAGATATCTTAATTATGGATTAATGGATTACTCATGGACAGCAATTACACTACATATTCATTCGTATCTGTTCAAATTCTTTGAAATGATCATAAAATAAGATTGAATTAGATACGCAATTCAGCCAGTTTCATTGAGTCAATAATCTGAAAAAAAA